AATGTGATTTTTGTTCGAAAAAATTTAGCCTTTGATGGAGAAAATGCAATTTTAAGTACCAACGGGCTAATTCTAATGGTAATTTTGTAATTCAGTTTTCTCAGCTTTGGAAGGAGCTAGAACAAAACTTTTTTTTTATCATTAAATAGGGAATTGTTTATACTATATACACCACTATTCAAAACAAAAAAATTCGCACCTACGATTTTTTCAGAAACGCCGCCTAAATGCCCACTGTGTGACAAGTGGTTGTTATTATTTTAGCAACTTAAATTAAGTTATTATTATTAAACGTTTATGAACCATTATGAAGCTCCCAAACTTATTTTTTCTGATCAGCACATGAAACTGACTCTGGGAATGTGAGTTAGAGCTATATCCTGTATAAGATGGCTAATAGAAAAATGTATCCACCAATATAACTTAAAACGCACCAACAGATTGATATCGTCAATTAAACATGACGTACATTATGAGAAAATTCGTCGATCATTACATGATTGGTAGATTGGAAAAAAAAAATTTTGCGTACCCGATTGATTTTGGTGATTTTTGTACTGTTTTTGAAGAAAAAAATGACCTGAAATGAAAGTGATCAGAAAAATATTTTAACACTAGATTAATAGAGGATACTCGAAAGTCTATAAGAAACTCTATTTTCAAACTGCGAAGTTCTTCTCTGCCTAAATACTGATTGTTTACTTTTTGACTCAGGATCGAAAATGCAATTTCCTCTGCTTTTTTCTTCTCTGCAGAATTACTGGTTATATTAATCCTCTGTATAAGGACGGTGATCATTGTCTTTCAACAAACTACAGGCGTATTACTCTACTGATAGTTCTCTCTAACCTAAAAAAGGATGTGGATTAATTAAAAAATATGGAATGATATATTTCTAAACATATCAGAACAGCCGTCAAAACTTATAGTTGGCACACGAAACAATCCATGTCTCAGCAAAGAACTTTTCCGTAAAAGTCCATATATCAAAAAATCCACCAATCCTAACAAGTCCACTACCATTAAAATTTATTTTCTTGTTCAAATACTTTAAATTCATTTCTTCTTTTTTCCTCTCAAATGATTGTAGTTTCTCCATCTATTACTTTATATATTTATCTGTACATCTATATTCATATATATATACATGAGTCATACCTTCCTTTCCTTATCTGTTCATATTCATAATAAACCATCAAATTTCTCCTAGATAAACATATAATTTCATTTATCCATTCCTTCTACGATATAATCACAATTACACAATTATCATCAAACAAAACGAGTAAATTCAATTAAAAACAAAACATTCCTACTCTCTAATCGTTCATTTTTCTTTTAAATCATCCTCCTCATCATCAGCAACACAAGAGATCCATGGATCTTAGCATCCGAGACTCACACTGTTCGAAAATAATATCTATTGTCTTCTAACTTTCGAGTTAGATATTCTTTATAGATATATGTATTTCGTTTATGATTTTATTTTAAATCATTGAAAACAAATACGATTAAGAGTCAAAGCCAATTGATGATTGTCTCTCGGGGACATGAAATCCGTATCTTGGCATCCAAGATCATCCTCACCCCTTCTCTTTCGTATTGTCAAGTAGACGTTGAATATCAATTATTTTAGCGTCATTGAGGGGTAGTCTTTTTTCATAGATGTTTAATGTCCTGGAAAAGTATTTTAAAGCGTCTCGATATTCTGATTTCAACAAGTAAGCATGAGCAATATTTTCTGTACATAATGCTAAATCTGGATGATTGTCAATCAATGTTATTTCCCACATATTTAATGTCAAATGAAAATATTCTAATGCACGATTAGCATCATTTTGTTTCAGATAAACTTGACCAATCAAATGATAACATTTAGCAATATTACGTTGATTGATATTATCACCAAACTTTTCTTTGTAGATATTCAATGCTTGATGGAAGTAATCCAGCGCTTTGTCGAAATCTGATAAATCCAAGTAAACTTCACCCATATTCTGAAGCGTGTAAGCTACGTATCTATGGTTTAGAGAAACAGTTTTTTCCAGCATATCTAACGCTTGTGAATAATAATTGAGAGCTTGGTCGAAGTTCTTCATTCGATAATGACTTTTACCGAGGTGATTCAGAGGAATAGACCGTCGTTGGTGAAATCTAGGCCAAATATTAGCATAAACTTCCCTACATTGTTCCAGATAGTTTATTGCTTTTTCATAATCACATTTCTTGTAATGAGCTTTGCCAATATTATTTAATGCTACACCGAGATATTGATGGTTATCCGGAAGAACTTGCTTAACTATTTCTAATGCTTTTGTTTGATGATGTAATGATGTATTATAGTCACCTATCTCTCAATAAGCAAGAGCTACGGACGTGAGCGCTTCGATTAGATCGAGATGAGGACACGGCACTAATTTTTCAATTATATTAAGTGCGCCATCAGCATATTCCAAAGCTTTTATGATCTTCCCAACACATATGTATAGTTCGGAAATATTTTTGAAAATGTCGGCACGAAGTCTGTGAGACTGGTCACTGGATTTGTTTTTGTCTAAAATATTCAGTGCATCAAATAAACAGTTAAAAGCAATATCATACTCTCTATTGTGCTTATGAACAAATCCCAGATAGTTTAATAATTTTGCAATTAATAAAAAGTCTGATGAATCACATACATCATATGCTCGTTTGTAACTTTTAATCGCTTCTTGATGTTCACCTCTAATATACTGAGCATGGCCAATACCTAGATAGACATTGGCGTCGTTACCTCGATCGGCAAACAAATTCTCAAAATACTTTTGCGATTTGTTGTATTCTCCCATATCATATAATAAATGGCCGAATAAAACACTTAAGTCAACGTCTTCACTTGTCATCTCACTTTTTCGAAGTGTTAAATATTCTTCAGCTATCTGAAGACCTCGATTGGTAGACATCATTTGACAAATCCAATATTGATCAGTCGAATTGTAATCGACTGATGCAATTTCAAACACAGTGCCGAGATCAAAAAGAACTTCTTGCTCGTCAGAAAACAGACTGTAACAACTAACATCCGCGAAGATACAGTGTGTATGCGTTTGCATGTCAATATCGATCTCAAATAATAAAGATTCGTATTTAAAATTGTTACATCCGATGCCAGCATACATTTCAGCTACTCTTTTGTTTTTAGTGGTGGAAAAAAATCCATTCGTCGATATTAATTTACCAATACTTGTCTGTAATCGCTGAATTTCGTCGTTTGTTTGCGTGATACCTCGATATAATTTCAGAGTTTCTGTTTGACGTTGTTTCCGTAATTCATAATCTCTGCCAAGGCAGGCCGAAAGGCCATTAATATAATATCGAAATGTATGCAAAACCTCAATGTCTTCTGTTCGTAAGGCTTTATTGATCAAACGATAGATAAAACCATCTTTTGTATACCATCGAATAGCATCGTCGGATGTGTAAGTTTTTTCGAATTGTTGAATATTTTGCAATTCTCTTTTATTATCACGATAATATTTGTAACATATATCAAGCATTTCACGTTTTCCAGCTATCGCATCTATCGGCATTCTCTGCAATACATCTTTCAATAACTGATGCCAGATAAATGAACCTGATTCATTTGCTAAATTACGTGTTGTTTTTTGTGTGTGATTATATAAAATGAATACTGAAGATTGTTGTTCGATTAATTTGATTGTATGACGTATAGTTCTCATTAAAGTTTCTTGATCAGTAAAAATACCAATTATTTTTTGATAATTCATATTTGATAATAATTGTTCGTATTTCTCTTTTTCGACGCAAAATATAAACAACGAATCGATTTGGCGAAACTCATGGATTTGTTTTAAAAATTCGTTATCAATTGTAGATGATCCGGAGATAATCAAAAGTATTTTCTCATTTTTTACTTGTTGAATATATTTCAAACATTCGCTTTGATTCGTAAAAAATAAAACGTAATTGTTAATTTGTCGAAGTAGATCTTTTGTTAACTTAATATCCTTAATATTCGAATTTAAATTCTTGTCAAACCATAATAATGATATATCTTCTTTGTTTTCTTGCATTTCCGGCAGATCTTCATTCGCTTCATCGTTTTGTGCCTCTTGTCTTCTAGTACGAATCAATTGACAGCTTTCCGAAAATTGCTCTTCGTCATCGGATTCACGTCCTTGCGTGTTACCAGTTTCTGAGGTCATGTTCAACTGATAAATATTAACGTCACTTCAGAGACAAAGCATATCTGAAAAAAATTGATTACCCTGCCACCGTGGAGATAGAGCGAAAACATCATTTTCTTCATACTACAATCGGCGTCGAAATATAATGAGCGCGGATATTTCTTGAATATTTCGAGAACGAAAGCACATAGTGACTTGGGATTTCACCATTTGAAAGAGAAATCCTAGAGAAGTAAAAATATGCTAAATGTAATTGGTTATGAGTTGATCAATCAGGTGAGTTTTTGATGTACATTTTGTGAATGATATCCGGAAATGATTTTCCATTGAACTTTTTGTTTCAATAAAGGCGTTTGATAGAGGAAATTGTTCTCTTTCAATCTACACAAGGCCGACCTTACTAGCTTGTTTCGTTCAGGAGTAGAGACCTGCAACCCGACCCTAGGGTCGGGTCGGGTTCGGGTTAAGATGTTGTCGGGTCGGAGTTGGGTTCGGGTTGAACATTTTCCGGCGCAATTTTAGATATAGATAATAATTTCAGTTTTGTAAAGGGCAGTCTCTACATTAAATCAGATCAGAAATTCGTCACGTAATAGTCGGAACACTTACCACTTTTACAGGAACACTTACCACTTATATTTTTAGATCACTAACTTCTTTACTCCAGGAAAGAGTCTCTAGAAGCAGGTGCTCAGAAAACCATCAAGGAGACCTGAATTTCGCTATCCTATTGAAGTTTGTTTGCAAATTAACTTAGAGACAAAATTCCGATCTTCAAGATCTGACAATGCAATGTATTAGTGCATTAGATTCTGATACAGTAACAAACTATATTATGAAGGCACAACAATGCGAATTCACATTCAAACAAGCTCACAAATTTGGGGAAGAATCCGAAGAAGAACGTGTTGATGAGGACGTTGAGATCGATTCGAACGATGAAACTGATGAAAGAAATTTTTCCTGTATGTTAATTTGCAAATAAGCTTCAATAGGATAGCGGAATTCACGTCTTCTTGATGGGTCTTCAGAAACCTGCTTCTAGAGATCCTTTTAAGGAGTAAAGAGGATAGTGGTCCAAAAGTATAAGAAAGCGTTCCCACATAGTCTAGCGGTAGACATACACAAAGACGTCAAAAACGCATTGCACAGTGACACTGATTTTCTAGCTTCTCAGAAATTTTCAGACAAAACAATCAAGTAGAGAGAGAGAAGAGCCTTGTCCCGAGATTCAAGGTGGTAGAAAACCTATGTTCCATTTACTTCCGAGATTACTAGACATCAAGGTTACCTGATAGGCGTGCATTAGGAAAAATTCTGCCACGCCCGAACAATGATAGATAAATGTCTCGGACTTGCGTGAAGTATAGATGTATATTCTGCATGTTTTAAAACTATATATTCTAAAAAAAATGCGACTTCTAAGAAGACACGTAAGTCGGATCCCAAAAAGCCAATTTTAGTGTCTCCTTTGAAGACACATGATGTGACTTTACGTGCTAGTCACTTTATAGCATCTTTGCCCTAGTCGCATTAAAGACACGTAAGTCGGATCCCATTTAGTCGTATATTAGCGACTCTTTTGAAGTCGCTTTGATGTGTCTTCTAGAGAAGACACATTTAAAAAATTTTCGTTCCTGCTAAGAATTGAACTCGGTAGACATATCGCTGAAGTCGCAGTTTTTTTTAGAGTGTAGATTGCTATGGAAGCCTAGAAAGAGGGAACTTGCCTACGGAATATCCATCAGGTGCACCACTTGTGGGTAGGATTTTGGACCTGATTCTTTTACACACAGACTTCTCCAGTGTCTTCTGTAAACTGGCGAAAACAGCATCTCTTCATCGTTCGTGTATCAAAAGTTATTTTGAAAACAGCGTTGTCCACTGTATTTTGAAATGGATAAAACAAGACATATCTTCACATGTCCAAAGTTTAGAGCCTGTTAAATGACAAATAATTGCAGTCGAGTAAAAATCTAGTTATCCAGATGAATCGGGCGATACTAGATTTTTTTTTGACGCTTCCGTGACCATTTTGGAAATGATTTTAAAGAACTGAACGAAGAAAAATATAACGCGATTGGACTCAAACCTAGGATCATAACATTCCCTGCCTTGTGCGATAAACACCCCGAAGTATTAAGTCGCTTTTCGAATAAGCATAGTGGAATAAAATAAGAAAAATATCGTGTTCGCCAATAATTGAATTTAAACTGAGCCTTTTACATTCATGAATTCAAATGAATTGGTTTCACATGGTTTCATAATGAATGATTTTACAGACTGCATTCTGACATCGTTCTGGGAAGAATTCATCAGTTAAAATCGATTTTTCGTCAACCTAATATTTTTTCTTATTTTAAGTCACTATGCTTGTTCGAAGAGCGACTTAGTACTTCAAGGTACTTGTACGGTATCTAAGTCTATGTCTGCACTACTGTGATTGATCATAGTGTGAGTTTGTACTTTTTCATTGCGACTGGAAGAGTATGAAGAAGAGGATGCTGACTCCTGAAGTAAATTTGTGACTATGCGTTTCCGTTTTTCTCGGTCATTTGACTGCGTCGAGTATATTGATTGTCGGTCCCACTCAGCAGTTGCCTATGGTTGTGGCTCGCTAAAGAATTCAGACTCGTTGTTTTAAATGTTTTCCTTTCGCTTCTTTTTCTATTCGTTTTTCTCATGCTCATACTTACTCTGTTTTAAAGTCTAATGTCAAAAAAACAGTAGCGCATGTTTTTCGTGTTACTAATAGGCGCTACATATCATTCCTAATATTCTATATCATGACTGTGCCGTCATCAACCATTCGTACATCAGCAACTTTAACACAGTTTTCTTACTGTAGTCATCTTCTACTGTCATCGATCAACGCATTCCTCATATCTTTCGATAAACAGTGTTTGCAAATACCGTTTTACGTAACAATTATGCGTCATACTAATTTGTAAAGTTTATATTTTTAAGAGAAAAAATAACAGAAATTAAGTACGAAACATGAACGGTTAAACATAAAGGATGAAGAAGAATATAAACAGTATCACACTAAAGAGATATCTTAAAGATACCTAAGCATAAGCTTGTTAGAGAAAAACTAAAACAATAATTATTGCAAACAAAACAATTTAAAAACATTTAGTGGCAAGCCTAAACAAATCACTAGTCAGCAATATTATAAGGTTTTATCTATTATCTATAGTGACTATAGATAATAGTCGGTTTCGATCCCGCACGATAATTATTTCGGTTTCGATCCCGCACGGTTTTTATGGTCCTGGCCCTTAAACCAATTACGCCCACACGGAAATAACACAGTATTAATCCCTGAAAATTCAAGGGTTTTCTAATCGACAGTTATCTGTT